CACAATATTTCTAATCGATTGAAGTTGGGAATGTAAGCCATTGAGTGCCAACTCAATGATTTAAAGGTTAGACGTTTACTATGAAGAGTTTAAACTCAACTCGTGGTGTAGGATCATGGATGTGCGAATTCTGAGAAGCTTCATACTAAGTTGAGACAACTTTCCAAGTGCTCCCTGGCTTTTAATAGTTCATGAAAAATATCAACAACATATGTGATCAAATTGTTCAAAATCTAAAAAAACTTAACCATCTTACAACATCAGTCAAACAAACTAAAAGATATACGTGTATTGATACTGCATAATTTTGCTTTTAAAATACATTTGATTGTATCATGGTTAATCATTATGTTGTCAATATCATCTCGTACACCGTACGTATTGATGACTAATTGCTAAATAATCTAAATGTGAATAAGTTAGAAAGGAATGTGAATATATTAATAATACTAATAAGTGAACTTAATACGTTACATAATTTATATACTTATTATGAGGTATCTTTATGGTATTTACCTTATAATAATTAGTGTTGTAACAGGTGTGACTGCAGGGTTTGATACGCAGCGTATTTATCGATCGCTTCTGTGACAGTGACACGGAAAACACGTAAGGACGACCTAGTGCCCTGATTGGCCCTGCTTCGCTGTCTGTCCCAGCCAGTTGAGTCAAGAACACAAGTCACAGCCTCTGAGTTATGAATCATTGTATTTCAAACATACTCTATTTATATACTAACCAAACAAACCACATCGTACCATAAAGTAGAGAACAACATTTACACAATATTTAACAAGTGAAATAAACATCGACCAATAGGAAATGTACATTTAAGGTCCAAGGCCACCGTAGACTTAACACAATAATTATTGGTATATTTTTCCGACTATCCTAACACCTCCCCTTTTTTTTGAAAGATCCGGAGTTCATATCTGCATTTTAAAATTTTCTGGGTTCATCCTCCCCCACGAAATAATGTTGGGTCTTCATATCCCCAAGTTAAAATTAATTGGACTTTATTTAACACATAATTGTCACATGGAACAGAGAAGTCACTAAAAGTGGTTAAGTAGTGTGGACCAACGTCGCTTGATATGAGGTCATCAACCTTTGATTCTTCTGGAACATTACCATAGAATTCCTTGAAAATCTCATTTGTGGATAGTCGATCAGTGGGATAATTAACATTATCAAAATTGTATTAAACTGCTGACCATCATTTGGTGCATCTAACACATTTTCTGGTACAAGAGGATCTAGATAATAAGATTCATCAGAATCTCCTGTTGTTGACTGATGAGGACCGTTTGGAGCAGCTAGACTCAATATACTGCACGATTTGTTTCCTGTTTCCTTGTGAGAGGGCACTGTAATTAATTTATGAGCATTTAATAAGAGATCTTCTTCCTGTGAGCTGGGTACATCACTGTCTGTACACGTTTCAGGAACAGTGGGATTTGAACCCACAACACGGCATGCTTCTGGACTGGACATTCCCGGATCGCTGAACGGATTATGAGCGACTGCCTCGTTTGCATTACTGATCATAAGGGATTCATAGAGGCTTTTGTTTTCATCTTCATATGTCCTGCAGTCATTCTCGAGTTCAGTATGCAAGTGAGAAACCAATTCATCAATTTCTTTCACATCTCCAAAACATGGGAGATTTAGCAGTCGCGTGCGCATATAGTCCAAAACATTCAACTGGCTTTCCCTGAAACGCTGCTGCTGGCGATCTAGTAGTAGCTGCAATTGATCGGGAAGGATATTCATTTTCTGAGTCAGCAGGGTAATGAGAAATACTGTAATCAATTAACAACCAATGACTCCCAAGGACGCCGATGACAAATCTGGATACTGATTGGTCAAAATAGATAGGCTGAATCTTGTCCAATTACAGGGTTCAAAATTTTCTCTACCCCGTCGCCAATTATTGTAACGTGTGAGGACTGGTATATTTTTCGACTATCCTAACAATTAGTGAGAAACTAAATAAGATACTTCGTATGACAGGTACATATATAACACTGTTAAACCAAGCATCAAAGTGTATTCATTTTAGTGACCAGACATTATAAGAGGGAAAGCCTGAAAAACCACAGTGAGAAAACACTACATTATTAATAACAATAAAGGTGATGACAAATAAAATCTAATTGAGAAATGAACGAAATAGTTGTGAATAACAAAAAGAAATATGTTCCAACAAGTCTGATTTTATAGATATTGTCCTTTCAAGCCGGTCTACCAGTTAAGGTTAAAAGTTCACTTTGTACCGAATCAATATAGATTTTAAAAATTTCCTTGATCTTGTGGGAGAAGTTATAATGGGCACACTAAACGAACAGTTTCCAAACGCGTTTAAAAATAATACTTCGAGTGGCTTTTAAAAGCGGGATCTAAAGTTATCATCAACTCAATACAGGAACAACTGATCAACTCTGGACACTGTAGTGATAAATAAATCCCCAAAATAAATAGCTCTGTAAGTTTTCGACATTAGATGCTGATCACATGTTTTAATGGACTCACCTAGCTGAACGCGCTCGTTCATGCATCCGCACCAGATCACGAGTGGGAACGCCGTGCTCAACGTCTACTGCAATCGCTAGTCAGATTAGATCAGACGATCCTCGATATATTGATAGCTTATCAAATATACCTTCGAACCTCCTTGCTTCTGTCTTCTGATTTCCTTTGGTGGGTACGCTTCATATAGAAGGTGTTACTGGTTAAAGCGTTGTCAAACTCCGAATACCTGTGGCATCTTCAACACATTACTTCACAGAAGTCATCCTTGAAAGTAATCTATACAACCAAAAGAATTAGACCAAACGGAGGTTGAAACAAAGACCTATGCACTGCTGAACAGTTGACGATCCACCAATTCAAGGCCGGACTATCTGTGCGAAAACGAAATGTCTAACCACTCACCCTTCCTTGGTCCTTATCCCCCTTACCCAGTACGTTTTGACAGTTCTTATTTTGTAATTTTCTTAAAAACGAAATCACGTATTATTCTCCTCTAACTATTTGTCATGATTATCCAATTATTGTGAGCTTTACGTTTTTCATTTCCTTTCATATCTGTCAAGTAGGCAATTGTCTCATATTTCCGACCGGTAAATTATTTTCATCCTCCTATCCTCCAACCCTGGGATCATTACGCGTCCTACTTTTGATATTTTAAATCTCGGATCACTTTACAACCTATTTCCCTACAGACATATATTTGTCGAACTATAAACACGAATGTACAGCTTAAGTAGATGATTTCCTTGAAAAGAGAATTTTATTCGCTGAATCCTTTTCATTTTTATGACAGTGAGATACTTTCAATAATAATACATCTATAGTTATTATATTATTATTCGTTAAACCCGCTTTTTGCATCTGATAATAATAATGATATAAACGCACTTCTACGTTAAATCTTACAACGATAGGTTATAGTAGTTTCAACAAATTTACTGACCATTTAGTTTTGGAGATACGATGACAGTGTCAGGAGCAAGGTGAAGGTATATTCCTCATGTATGTTGCCCAGTAAATTTAAGCGCATGAATGTTTGATACTGTGATGAGTTGTTGATTGATTGATACGCATACCTCCTGTCAATTCGTTAAAAACTATTAATATTCAGAATTTCTCAATCGTCTAGTAGACTTCTCTAACCCATGTGATTCGCGTTTTATTATGTTTACCTTTCAGTATTTCGGGAAACAACTCTACCCTCCTTATGATTCTCACAATAAATTAATTTAAAAACATAAAAGCTGAATATTACTATACTGAATTTTTTTAACTCATATGGTATTTAACCTTGTCTGATATGTTTTGAGTATCTGGTACGTTCCCAATTTTAATCATAAAAGAACGAATTTTAATTGAGTCCTTTTCAAGTTAGCAATAAAGCGTGCTTTTTGTTACGCATTAAAACAGTCTAAAAACCATTGAACGCTAGGATGATTGTTAGATTTAAGTTGGAACTAACTCTACAGCGTGATCTGGGGGAACCATACAGAAGTGAACCCCAGAATTAGGAATCACCAGGCGAGCACAGTACCCCTTAAACCCATACAACAGTTCGACGATCGATATTTTCAGCTCGTCAATAAATGACAGCGCGACGGATGGTCACAAACATTCTGACTAAAACGAACGAGATATATTCACAAATATTTACTTAAGTCCTTACATCAATCAACTTGTTTTTTCTACTTGTTTATATGACTTTTTGAACTGGTTTTAGGAATAATTCTTTTGAATACTGGGTGAAGGATTGAATTTGACGCTATTCTTGTAGTATTTCAACTTCCGGCATTTTAAATGACGGGTCTGATCAAATAAAAGAAATATTAGTGTCTATGGGATTTCGATCTAGTATGTAGTTTTCTGTAAGTTCAGTTATTAAGTACAACTCGTGTATGCTGCTTTTAGTACAAATACGCAGAGGACTTCCATTACTTTAGTTATTTTTTAAAACCGGTCAATGTAAGTAATCAAATATTCCCACTGAGATATTAAAAATACAGGTTGAGAGAAGAAATAGTTCTCAATTAGTTCTTCATCAGGCCTCTACAGGAAATCGTATCTTTGCAGTACTCCATGGCATTAAGTCATTGGCAATTGAACTGCTTCATTTAAATAGTTGTAAGCTACCTAGTTGGATTCCACGTGATTATCGTAACCAGTGGTTGGGTTTCGAGTGACATCTCAGAATCTTTCGCCATAGCACACGTCCATTTAATTCATGTCTTTCTATAGAACCTGAGTCTTGAAATCGCCTTATACCTTTGTTTTTCTTTTTCTATATTAAGCTTTTTTCACTACTGATATTTTTATTACTCTATGGTTAGTCAGGAAACAATTTTATCTCGTCATGATAATGTGATATGGTGACCAATGCATATGTCTAGTTCTACATTGCATATAACTGATTGAACGTCTTCATTTATCCAAATTGCTGAGATTGACTGTTTCCAAACAGAAAAAGTATCTCCACGTTTCCTTTAGTATGTATTTCGATATTACAAAAAAGTATGAAAGACAATAGAAGTCGTTAATGTCGTAAAACACGTTTAGATATACAGTAAATAACAACTATCAAAAATGTTTACTGACCCTTATCGTTACGATTAACATTTGTAAAGTAACAAATAAAAAAGATGAGGAAAAAAGAGTAAAAATTATAACCGAACTCAATATGTAAATCATATCAAAAATATATGAATATTAACTGAATAACTTAGTTTCCTTGAACAAAATTAATAGTAATTATGATTCAAGTCCATATTTTTCAATAAGGCATCTAGCTTTATTCACGTACAACGTTTTGGCTTCTTCGCTGCAAATACCTGTAATTTAGAAGTAAACAGTAATAGAATTAACAAGAAACTACTTTCATGACTTTTGCTAGTGTTTTAGCAGGCTCTACGTTGCGTAAGACTGACTGGTGACTTTTTGGGACCATTTATCAAGACAGTGATACTAGACTATTTCTCAAACATCGAAAAGTGAAGCCGCGAGCTGATGGTTGGTAATAAAATAAATCAATGCGAAACACTTTACTGGCTTATACCATCGGTAAGTACAATCGCTACATTTCGCAAATAACTACACGATGAAATGAGAGTAAAGATGCCTAGTTATACCACAAATAGTTTTTCTAAACTTATCTATATGAACTTTAATCCAAGGCCAAAATACGTGTAGTATAGTAAGCTTTTAGGCGGATAATTCAGCCATACGTTTAAAACACCCCTTAGTGAAATTTGCATCCTATCACATGAGTAACCGATATTATGTGAGTTTCTCAATTGCCTTCAACGAATACTCGGAAAAATTGACGGCATTTCGTATCAAACAAAATCAGGATATTCGCACTCATAATTAGCTGAAGACTATGAACTTAGTTCACGGTATATAGGTTTCTCTGTTTGTAGGAGGGTGAATGGTCACTGATCCCAGGATGATTTTGCTACTGAGTTCTAACACTCAGTTGTCATGTTTTAAAAAGCGGTAATACGAATGCGCATATAGAGGCATATATATAAATCGTTACTTTAATCTGTATTTTCTTTCATTCTAAGATTATTCAAGAGCTCAACAACTTTTTATAGTGTATGAGAAATACTTTGAAACAACACGTTACTAAATAAAGTGAAACTTGTCTTTTACATCCAAAAGGAGTGGAACTCAGGTTGAACCAAATATTTTACATAGTTCAACTACATTGGTCGGACGCACACAACCACCTTTATCTTGTATACTTTTTTATCTAATTAGCACGATGTTCCAGCATAGAATGCTTCTATTTCTCTGTACATCAAATCAGAATGTACTTCAGGGTCATTGGTTAACGGGTGAATAACAGGGAACCAAGCAGACCAAACGTCACACTACTAATATATTTCTGGACGGTTGTGATGGGGATATCTAACCACGGTTTCCAATATTTAGTCTTACGGTTTTACATACTGTCTACAAGTTCAGTTTGTAGCGCACAAGAGTAGCTTATAGAAAAAAGACAAATTAGGCAACAGTAAACAAATTTTTTCCTTGGTAGTCAGGTCAAATTTGATGTTTATTCCTACGACTGTCATTGTGCTGCATGTTTTAGTTAAAATACACAACACTAATGTCGATCTTACAATCCTAAATATAAACTATTGTTAAGGAACCACAACCATGGGGACATACAGTACAATGTATGGCAAATTAAGCAAAAGCGCACGTGTCCCAATCATATAAGATTAGTGAGTGATTGATTTGAGTCTCTCCACTCATCCTAAGCAGAAAAATTTCCAGCTTTAGTCTGCAGAATGCATATTTGTTATAGTGTTGTGGCAACTTGTCATTATTCAAATGGGAAACCTAGCCTATGGGCTTGTGAAGATAGTTTTTAAGTACATGCATGTCTGTAATACATGTATATGGCTTTGAACGACTACTTACCTTTTTTTCCATTCCAAGCGTTCCATTTCGCTTTTCCTTTTAGATCGAGGATACCAGGAGCACCTAGTGAATAAACTATAAACTAAAAAACGTACATGTATTGTTGTCACCAACCGTAGCTTGTTTGTACAAGCCGTAAAGTTCGAGGAGATCATTATCATTAGGTTTAGTTTTAAGCTTTTTAACTTTTTCAGCGTGACTGTTAAATTCCTAAAAAAACATAAAGTTAGGCAAGTATAAATACCTCCATAGTAACCATGGTCCCTGTGTCACTACACCAAGGTCGAGATTGTATTACGCGCTGTAACTTTTAAGTCCACTGATTTAGTTTCAACCGTGTTTCGGACACTTGTTTGAATGTGCATGGTGAGCGTGCGGTTCAAGTTGAAGTTTCTGAAGCGTTGATTTATTAGCACGTTTTTACGGCTATGGTTTCCTCAAAGTATCTACATTTTGGACCTTCATTGGAAAACAATTCGCATTGATTTACACACGTACACCGACCTACTATTCTTCTTAATGAAGACTCTCTTCTTATGTCTAGTGTTTTTCTGAATTTCTTCTACTTAAGTGCACACCGAGTGTATGATATCGATTTTCAGGATGGTCTTTACTTATGGGTTTTTGTGCTTCTTTTCTCAAATATTTGTCCACTAAGCATACATCTATCGTTAACGTAGTAAGCAGTGTCGTAAATAATTCACAGCTTTCTGTTAATCTGAATGATGGATAAAGGGAAATGTTCTGATTTCACTTTTTTATTTAAAACGACGAAAAATTCGGAAATTTTCAGACAGTTTTATTTAGGGAATAAGATTTCATTTTTCACTCAGTCCCTGGCTTTATCCTTCCAGCTTTTATATCAGGCCGAAGGTCTGACAAAAGAATTATCATTGTGGAAATGTGAGTCAAACTAGTTACAGAAACCAACTGGGCCACTAAATTACACTAAAAGACTCTTCTTGGTAACTGCATGTCTAGCGTACAGATGGCCACATTTATTTTCACTGATAGCCACAAAACATGACTTGCACTAGCTAGCTAGAATATCCAGGTCGGTCTGAATTTCTTGTTTGTCTGTATCTCCGACTACTTCCCTTCAGTTTTCAATGTGGCCAGCTTAATGTAGAATCGGGAACCTAATACACTAGGATTTCATTCACGTGGAGTATATACGGTTAATGGTACATGATGGTGACTTACTGTAATCCGCTAGTACTAGTTTCTTAGTGAAGCATTTGAGATTTATACTAGTTTTCTTTGGACGACCCATCACTACACTTCTGAACGGTTGTCTAGAGATTCCCAGAATAAACAGTAGTTCAGTACCTGAAACCTCCTCAAAATTATTTCTGAAGCCAAAGCAAACATCACTAGTTGGTTTTCCATTATCAAGCGACTAATTTCAGACGTGCATGACAATCCGTTACTGTTCTGTACTGTTTGACACATTATCAGTAGTGAGACGGGACAATCAGAAACTACCATTTGAGAACGGTACATCGCACCACTCAGAAACCACCAAATTACATGCGTATTTATTTTTCCAAGGAATGGCTTCATTTTATAAGCGACAAAACACTAAACACCAATGGGCCTAACTTCCTGAGGGACTGAAAGATACATTTAAATAGGTGTATGTAGATGAAGGATGGCCTCTACACAATAAATTTCCTTTTGACTCTATGCTTTTGCAATCGATAAACGGTTGCGTTCAGCATATTAGAGGATTTCAAATGAAAATTGACTTTCGGACACCATACTTCTAAGTCCGAAGAGTTTACTGCCTTCAGTACATTAGCCCCATTGAATTTCACTGTAATCAGCCGATTGAGTGGCTTAACATCTGGACTTAGTCCTTTATCTGGAGGGGACTAATGTGTTGAATATGTACCGAAGTTAACAGCCATGACATTCTCTTTGTTCTGAGCTTCCTCTATTATTCTGTATGCACTTCGTCCCATAATTAAACTGTGAATCCGTCCGTGAATTTTCATCCTGTAATTTATATGTTAGCACAATAGCTCTTGTTGTATGATTGAAGTTTGCTCCACGTGATATTCATATTTCTGATGAGCTGATCTATAAACAGTTAGTTATCACAACTCGTTGCACAAGAGCACAAGTAAAAATTCAAATTCAGTGTAAACACAACTAGGGAAATACTTCGCCACCTCTCCTTAGAACCCCTATGGTTCCATCATCAAAGGAACGATCTAATATTTCTCTGCAAGGCAATATATGGACTCCTATTTCTAACCTCCTGCGAGACCACGATTTATGACCCATTCTATAGACTCAGAACCAACGCAATGCTTACTGGAAAACACCGAAAACCAAGGCGTTGTACGTCTTTCACAGTGCCGTATAATTTATTATGGAATACGTTGCCAATACCTATCCGTAACTGTGACACTATCACCAAGTTCAAAAGACTAATAACATTGTTACTTGACTCTAAAGAGTCTAATCAACTATTTTCTGAACTTTCACCCACCAATGACACACTTTATTATGGACCACCTAATATCTAAACAGATCGTTAGTGTAAGGAACCTCATTGTCATTAATATGAATATAACCAAATGATAGAACATATGGTTTACACTATCCGATTATTCATTGACTATGAGTTGTGCGCTTACGCTCCTACACCTCACCTTCAGATTCCGAATCTCTCTAATGAAATTCATATGGAATTAATTAGTTAATATTATCGCTCAAATCAATAATCTGTTTAGCATCGTTACAACAGCCAAACTTAAACAAGAGGTGACATGTTGATCTGTCCGAATTTTTCTAAGGCGGATGACTTTGCAGTTGTCTTTCAGCATACCCTATAATCTAAGGCAAATGTCCCTTAAGTTAGACGGGTGTGCGCGGTCGGGGAGGTTATACGCGGCTGGATTGGAGGAGGACATCACTCTCTTCGTCACTTCTTCAGCCTTAATCTCCAAAATACACTCGGCTTTAGTGAGCTGCTCAAGATTTCGATCAGTATCAAGACCTCATATACGTGTGAGGGGTGCTAGTTGATTAAGTCTGCCGTTAATTTTGGCCAGAGAGTTTTGTAGCTGACGGATGTCAGTACTATATTTATCAGTATTTGAAATTTTGAACTTAGGCCTTGGTAAAACATGTTGTCCGGTAGACTGACTTTTCGATGCACGTGGGTACTGTGCCTTGTATGTCAACCAGTCTTACCGTTAGTGTACTGTACGCAGAGATAGAAGGGTTGTAACACGGAGAATCAAGTACTGATAGTGATATTTGTGAATAAGACGCATATTGTTTAGTAGATAAAGGTTCGACATTGTCATATACTTAGACGTCAATCAGATTTGGACCTGTTATTTGGCTTAGAAGTCGGTGAAATGTCTCTTTTACTGAAGTTATTGACCATGATTTGAAATTGGACGAATAGAGAGCTCGTTAAACAAAATATAATATCTGAGTATATAGTCGTTATTAAGTTCAAACCCGATTGATACAAGTATCAGGGACTATGAGCATATAATAAGTTTCGGATCTATTTAAGACTTAAGTCCGCGATAGGAATAATATTAACTGGTAAGTTTCCGTCGAAGTTTTTTTCAGGATAAAGTGTACCCGATAGACAAGATAGGATGATAGTCTTCGTATAATACGCCCTACAAATGAACCAGTTGAAGAATTCCTAGACCACTTTCAAATTTTGCGCGGTAGGTTAAAGTTGCATTATTCTTCTGAAGTGTCGTGTCGTTTTTTTCTATTACAAGTAGACAGATAACTCACTAATCTTGTGGATGCTGATCAAGTATGGCCAACCATAAAATGCTCATAATATCCTAAATTCTTGTGAGTCGCTAGATGTTTTGTTTTCTCACTCTGAAATTTTACAATTCTAAACCTTTGCATAGTCTTTGATTTGCTATCTTTTAGATTTATGGTATACTTCGTTAGTAATGCTGCTCTTATAATGGACCTAATCCTTAAATTGGAGATTCGTCATGAGGAAACTGCCTAATCTATAAGATCTTACATGGAAGTCACATCATTTTCTACACCAACTCATCGCATCGTAACAAGCACCAGTATATGTTATAGAACACAATTGGGCTAGAGATAGAACAATATTTTCAACATGAATAAAATACATAAGACAACACCGAAGAATGACTATGCCTGAAAAACCCAGCCATGCCACTCGACGGAATGAATTCATCCTTCCTGCCTTCTACATCGTTGGGTTTTTCTTCACGTTAAATGTTGAATATCTATTTTCCCGGTTGTTTCCTGTTCCCATTTCAGGATTGTTTGGTTACGACCCAATGCCACTACAATCTATCCTTACCATCTCTAAACCACATATAATCTGAATAGCGTCGTATAATTTATACTGTTAGTTATCTTCATAGCAGTCTGGATATCTAACCCATAATATAGCTTTGGTCGCCTACATTGCTTGTAACATGAAACTAGTGGAAGAAGTTTATTCAAACAAGGAACTTATATTAGAGCAATATTATGCATATCACAGACGGAAGAGAACCTAACATCACAAAAGGAGGGAGGGTGACGCTACTGACCAGAACAACATGATGGTGGGGAGATAACTTCAATCAGCCCATGTCTGTAGAGACGAACATGTTGTTGAATTACGGCTCCATATGACCAAGGGGGATATTACAAAACAATGATATTGACACTAATTTACAACGCAAAATACCTCTTTAAATCATGTTTGTGAGGCTGAATTTTTTAACTTCTACCGAGTAATCCTATTACAAGTGAAACTAGACAATTTGCTAAAAACGAAGTCTGCTCATGACCCTATAAGATCAATAAAATTAAAAATGAGCTGATATAGCTTCGACAAAAAAGGGAGACAGCGAATTCTGTATCAAAATACTGCTTTCACTACTATATTTTAAGACTACACATAATCCTATACTTTCAGCTTCTTTTTCAACCACCTCCATTTAATAATAATAATTTATTCTCAAATAACAATTTGTTACATGAGGCATACCAGCTTACAGGAAGTTTACAGTTCTTTATCCACTCTCGCCTTGTTTGCTCCTATTTTCTTTACGAAAATGCTCTTGCTTAAAATGTACCCTAATAAAAGAGTATTCGACCAAGTAGTCATGCTTAAACTATTTCTCCACAAATGACTCAAATTCGATAAGTATGAATGTTGTCTGCTTTTCTTCTCGTCCTTTCTTTCTTACTCTCCTTTTTCATCCCCTTTGAGATATATCGACGAATACACATATAGAATGGGCGACTTTGTCCTGAGCCATCATTAAGGCTTCAGATGCTCCAGAAGGATATAAGGTTGTGGTTTCTAGAATCTCTCAACTTCACGTGGATCTATTCTTGGCCATCAG